TGTAGAAGCATTTTTTAAATTTGAACTAGCACTTCATGACTACACCACGTTATGTATGAGAAGCTGCAAAAGACACAGGCGCAAGTGGAATGTAAAATACATGGTGACATTAATATAAGTAAATATAATGGGCGATATATTGCATCACCAAAAATGATTGAGGTCATGTACATATGTTGCGCGATAAGTCGATATTGATTATTGCGACAGGCCTACTTGTACCCTGACACAGCATAAAAATAAGTTCTAAATAAAATGTTGGTGTCATTTCAGAGCGTCTTGTGGAGAGCCTACGACTCCCTCAAGTGCCCATCCTCCATGCTCAGGTCTTCCTCTTCTTCAGAGTGCTGCTACTGCGCATGTCCCCCCAGCACCTGACCTCACTCTGGCCCACTATGATCACTGAGCTGGTGAGGATATGACACACCTTGTCATTTACACATTACATATAATCACAAGCAACATCTCACAAGTAAGCTGTAAGCTCTGATGCTGAAATAACAGAAGTTCCCAAGGACAATCTAAAGAGGAATAGTTATTTGGTGGACTTTTTTGTCTCATTCTTTTGGCAAAGTTCAATAGGCTTGTTTGTTTGTTTCTTCCTTCAGGTTCAGGTTTTCTTACTTATGGAACAGGAACTCACTGCAGATGAGGACATCACCAGGTATCCATTATTAAAATCTGTAGCATTCCTCATTATTTCAGCTATTTTATCTTTTCTTTTTTATTTTAGAAGTAGAATCATGTTCCATGTAAGACATTATGGGTGATTCTGTGTGTGGAATACTGATGAATGTGCTTTCTGGCTTCTCTTCAGGACCTCGGGTCCCTCGGTTGCAGGGCTTGAGACAACATACTCAGGGGGCAACGGCTTCTCTACCTCCTACAACAGCCAGCGCTGGCTTAACCTCTATCTGTCTGCCTGCAAGCTGCTGGACCTGGCCCTCGCTCTGCCCTCTGAGAGTCTGCCTCAGTTCCAGATGTGGGTGCCCTTACACACTGAATGCTTAAAATGTATTTTAGTACAAGGCAGCAATGTTTCTTGTTAAAAGGTCATTAACAAAACCACCCTGAGACTCTGAAATTCATTTAAAAGTAATGCAATAGCTGTTTCTTTTGTAAGAGTGCTGTTCAGTCTGTTCAGGTATATTCTCAAGACTGTGTTTTTCAAAAACCTCAGTTTAGACTGTTCCAGCACTCTCTGTACTTCTTCATGGATAAAATTCATCACAAATATTGAGCATATTTAATGTGAAGGAAATAATATTACTCTATACCACAGGTATCGCTGGGCTTTCGTCCCTGAAGCCTCGGATGACTCTGGTCTGGAGGTCCGCAGACAGGGGACCCATCAGAGAGAGTTCAAGCCCTATGTTGTCAGACTGGCCAAACTGCTGAGAAAAAGAGCCAAGGTAATACAACCATGTAACAGTCACCACGATATACACTTAGGATGATAATACATGAGGAAATTTTGCCGGGCAACTTTTTTTAAGCAATGTTTCTTGGGCACTTTCACTTTGAGAATGGATAACAAATGTCTATCTGGATACTTTAGATCGGTCGTGGGCCATGTGTCTCATCTGGTTGCCCGTTAGCGGCAATAAAGTTGCCTGGCAACATTGCTTAAAAAGTTGCCCCGTGTATCATCAGCCTTAGGCCATGTCCACACGTACACGGGTATTTTTATAAACTGAGTTTTCTCCCGTTTTTAAAAAAATCTCCGTCCACATGAAAACGCAAACGCATGTTATGAAGCACTGTCAAGAGCATGCCAAACCAACAGGTGGCGATGTAATCTCAATCGTAAAGCCATGTTGGCCAATCAAAAGCCTCAAAAAGTTTACAGTAGGTAAAGTGGAGATTACACTGCACTACACAGATAACACTGCAACCGGAGTTTTTGAAAATCTTCACCCTGGCAGGCGTTTTCAAAAATGTTCGGTTTCAGTAACCTGCTGCTGCGTAGAAAAAGCTGCGGTTTAAAAAATAACCACGTTCGTGTGGACAGACCTTAAACTATGGAAATCTATTCAGTTTTGTCCTATTTGTGCCTTATTATTTTAATAGAGATTCATTCCACATCATTGGCATATAGGGCCTATAACATTTATAGATTATTCAGTAGATTTGCTAATGCTCTTAAGCCTAGGATGTTCACTACTCTCATGGGAATACCTCCATTAACTCTAGAAAAATCCAGAGGAAGACTGCTCCACACGCACTCTATCCTGGGAGCCTGGACAGCTCCTGCTCACCCTTTACGTGATCCGCAGCATGGAGCAGCTCCTCCCTTTCTTCAACCTTCTTAGTCATGTCTTCAGCAGTAAAGGCAGCAGCCGCTCAGGACCATATCACAGCCCTACTCCAAGAGACGGCCCATTCCCTGGCAAGGATGGCAAGCTGGAGAGCCAGAAAGTCTTCTGGAGCCGGGCCAGACAGAACATTGAGGAAATGGTTGAGAAGGACTTCCTTGAGGGACTCATCAAAACGTGACCTGGCATGAACAAAAAGTGAAAACTATTGAGCTATGGCAAAAACACTAACACCTCATCTTTTAAAAATGGAAGAGAACAAAAAAAAAGTTTGTACATTTTTTGATTTTCTAATTAATGTATTTTCCCCAACAAATATACTATTTAATTTTAAGTCTTTTACTTGTAAATATAGCCCATTGTGATTATTTCTTTCATTTGTTTGAGCCCATAGGATAGTATGATACTGTGCCATTCCATATTGTGGTGACTTGCCTAATAAAGAGACATATCATGTGAATTTAATACATTTTTGAACTCCCTCATCCACAGAAAACAAGGCTTGTAGCAGACCTCATGTCCATAACTAATCAAACTTGCACTAATATTTATTTCCTTTTGGATTAGTTTTCAGTGGTGTCAGCAAAAACCTTTTGTGTAAGAAAAAAAAATACATGGACAGTTATAAGTGATGTTGCTTTGAAAATGATCAAACCCATAATGAAAAAAATATAAATTGTTGCATATCAGAGTAAGTGGGAGAGAGGAAATAAATCAGAAATGTGTTACGTGCACTACAGCTGTTTTCCCCTTCTTTAAACTGATTTAACCGAACAAACCTAACGAAATAAGCCTTTAGTTTTGCATTATACTTACGTTAAGCAAACCACGCTGATTGTAATGTGCCAGGTTAGTTTGTGAACTATTCACCTAGAACGATTCTTTGACTTGAAGGATTCGAATTTGTTCATAAATTGGTGTTTCAGTGATTAGACTCAAACGAATTCAGCTATTCTAGTCGAGTCGGTGTTAATCCGTGTATCATTCGATCATTCGTTTTTTGATTTAATATTGAAAGTAGAAAAATGAGAAAACGGCTGGAGGGTTTGGTGATAAACAAACTGAAATTGCTTATATTTATTATTATTATAAGTTATTATATTTTATGAAAATCTTGCGTTGCAGTGCATATCCTTTTGAGATATCAATTATAATAAATTTTAATAAAACACAAGACTACATTATATAACTCTAACAGTAGGCTATTTAATATCTGTTGTTCTCCGGTTGTCAGTCAGAATGACAGTTCTTGCGTGAACATAGGCCTATATATACCCAAGCCAATTTATTATTCCTTCCTTTTTGTCTTGGTGTTTAAAATATTTATTTTGAAACAAATTAATTAATTACTTAAACAGACTTACTGGGGGACCAGGGTAGGCTATGACAGTTGTCATATCATACCCTGCCATGCCCAGCTGATGCAAAGAATAGAATTTATATCTACACAGAAGAAAGCCCTGTCTAGACTCTGCCCAGGCATGAGTTGTGTTGAGCTATTCATTAGCCTGTTTGTTTGATGAAAAAAGACTAAATGTAGTTGCAATAAATGCGTTAAGAATCCATACAACTGCAGCAGTGGAGGACTATTATTCTGCTGCGTGATACTGCAGAAGAACTGATGACGGCACGGTTTGATCTTCGGCTGTCCAATCAGCTGAAAGGGGCGTTTAATTCCCGCCCACGTGTAGAAATCGAATATTCAAGCTGTTTATTCATTTTTTTTTACCCCTGAGCGAAAAACGAAAATTTAAGCTGAATTCTCTTTTTTTCAATTTTTGGAAAAAAAAAACTAAAAAGGAGCCGTTTTCTCATTTTTCTACTTTCAATATTAAAGGGGTGATATGATGCTTTTTTTAAAGATCATTATTTTGTGTATTTGGTGTAACAGAATATGTTGACATGCTTTAATGTTCAAAAAACACATTATTTTAAATAATGTCATTAGTTTTTACCATCAGTTTAAGCCCGAAAGGGGAACAGACACAGTAATGATGCAGTACACAAGCGGTTAAGACAGCTGACTCTACTGTGATGTGATGCTGTCTCTCTCTCACTCACACACACACGATGCGCAAAACTCCGCATTTGAACAGTCAATATCAAATACTTAAACTAGTAACAAAACATACTTAGTCGCTGATTCAGAAGCGCCAGATTGTCATAGCAAAGTCAGAATTACCTCCTCTCCTAGGTTCACGAAACGGTCGTCCATAAAATGCATTGTTGTTCTGTTGACGATACACGGATTGTGTTCGAGTCTGAATGGGACTTTTCGTTTGTGAACGACCGGAATGAACTGAAGTGTTTGTGTGTGAACTTAACAAACAAAAACAAGGGAAGGGGGTTAAGATTATGTAAAACGAGACCGTACAACAATACACCACTAAAATGACGTAAGTACTTTATTTAAATAAAATATTTTATTTGATGTATTCATGACATTTTGCTGTTGTTTTATGTAGCCTAATAAAAAAAGTCACACCAAGCAGATGACAAACGTGATAAGAAAATTCATGATTCTTGAACATTCTTTCAATCACGGATAGTAGCCACTGAACTAATCCGTGATTGGATCTTTTAGGTGAATTGACTGAAAAGATTCGAGTCTCTAAAATGAATCAAAATCCCCACCACTAGATACCATAGCAATAAAAAGCACAAGTACATTGGGCGCAGATAGTAAAGCGCACGCAATCTGGGGTTTTAATGACGTGTGACTTGACTCGTGCGTGGGGGCGGAGTGATAGCACAAATAATTAAATATCGAGTCCAGCGGGGACCGCGGCTTCCCGTTATCGCAGCGTTTCATCCTCCTAGTTCAGCAATTGTCCAAACCTGGACATAGCCACGGGGTGAAGGAAAAGGAAGGCGAGCGGTTTTTAGAGATGAGGAGAACAACGCAAGCCGTTTGAAGGTTTGGGTGACTGCACATCGAGCGGGGTTTGTCAGGAAGATTAATCCTTGATCTGGAGGAGGAGAGAAGGACGACTGGACGAGCCGAGCATCATCGTAACAGCCTCTTCCAATACAACGCGGAAATAACGAGGAATATCTTTTAAGACTTTATAAAAATTGTCTTTAATAACCTTAAAGCCTATCGTTTACTCTTTATAAATAACTATTTGCGGTTGAAATAGTCATTACGCATCTCTTATATGCTCCCGCATCCCCACGAGGCGAATACACGGCGCAGGCGTTGACCTGAAATTTATATTATAGTAAACACAGAGTCTCGCTCTGTATGATTTAGTATTGCCTTAAATATGTCCGTTGCTCATCATCCATGGTAAAGACTTTATCTCAGCTTGGTCTTGATAACAATCACATCGTATTAATATCGCAAATTGTGGTCGAGAATCCATTTTAAAGGGCCTCGTTCTTGTGGACGCTTTGGAACATCTCGACGCGTCTCTTTGTACGGGAATAAGGGCGTTTGAATCCGCGAGGGACGGAAGATGTCGGGTCAGACTTTGACGGACCGCATCGCCGCGGCGCAGTACAGCCTCACGGGATCCGAGGTGGCTCGTGCGGTGTGTAAAGCGACCACGCATGAAGTGATGGCACCTAAAAAAAAACATCTCGAATGTAAGTGGGTTCAGGTTCAGATTACACCTTTCCTTGCCTTGTTCATACCAAATATACTTACGCAATGGGTCCGTTCACCCATCCACTTATTAATCGTTTATTTGCCCATTATGTTCATGCAATGGCTACTCAAAGGTCATCAGATACCACTGAATCGGTTAGAAAGGCATATGGTGCTGTTTTGGTGTCAGCGTTGTGGAATGGAAATGTGCAATTGCTCTGTGACTAATGGGCCCTCATTTCACAGTGTGTCTGTCACAAAGCAGAGAGACGCCAGAATGAGCAGAGAACATGGCTTCCGTCCACTGTATGGCCTGGAAAGAAAAGCAAACCATTTTTCTCACTCTTCCAAGTAATTTGTTTGGAATGTCATTTATTTGGTTTGAATGCATTTCATATGCATTTCTTCTATCTATCTATCTATCTATCGATCTATCGTCTGTCTGTCTCTGTCTAGCATGTACAATATAGGGAGAAATATGTACTTTGAATGCCAAGGTATTCTAACTATAAACTCTAGTCTAGTACCTTTTGTCTACTAACTTGTAAGTTTACCGTAAGTGTACTCCGTGTTGAAAGCATGATAGAAAGTGCACTCAGAGCTAAACTGAAGTAATCAACCTCCAGCAGCAGGTGGCCTGGAATGGTTTTGGCAGCCCCAGTCCGTTTCATTGCCTCTCAGATTCACCCCTGCTGAATTATACATTCCTCTTTCAGGTCAAAGGTGAGGATGTCACTAGGAACATTAAGTGGAGAATTTGATACAGACGTTCCACCCCTTTGATATTCTATTGTAAAACTCAGTCTTACTGTGTGTCATGTAAAATAATTTTATGGAATGACAAAATATGCATGTTATTTACCCAGAACACTGGTAGTAAAAGGAGTTGGTTGAAATTGGACACAAAACAGGCAAACTATGTAAAATACACTTTTGTGTATTAAAGTGCATGTGATATTTAAAGTAAAAATACAACAAACAAAGCTTTTAAAATGGGCTCATGCTGAAATTTGAGCACTTTCTCTTTGAAATATGGTGCATTGTGATAAATCAATGGCTTTCAAATAGTCCTGATCAGCATCACAAAAGGTCTCAGTTTGTGGCAGGTGTCCCAAGCTCCTAAGCACTGTGACACACCCACATCTGTCTCAGAAGAGCATGGGTAATCAGAACACGTCAATTAAATCGGAGATAAGCAATTCAACTGTGTGGCTCAGGACAAAATCACATGGTTGGAAGTTTTTGTCTGGTTTCCATCCATGTGATCTTCCCGTGCTGAATATTTATTCAGTTTATAGTTTTAAACCCCGCAGTATTATTTTGCTTGCACCGTTCAGCATTCAGTCAGTTTCTCAGCAATCTCTTAAATGTGCTGACTCATTAGTTCACCTCCCATTTTGTAATGTACACTCATTTCAGTATCATAACGTGGCTTGTCTTTATTTTTTTTTTAGATTTTGTGTACTTGATTGTAATTTTTTAATATTTTGATATTTTAAAAAAGCAAAAAATGAAGAAATTAAATTGCATTTTGCTACATGGACATTTCCACTGAATAGGAACAGAAGAATGCCAGTCTAAACCTGCTGGGTGGATTGTGCTGCTGAATTGGTGCATGTAGAGACTTCTTGTTTCACCTCACTTCTGAGGTTTCCAAATCCTCCCTGGGCTGTTTAAAAATGTAATTGCCTCAATTTTATGTTGAGTGACAAGGGAAACTGCACAGATGTTTATCAACATATTTCCGGCTTACTAAAGGCTTCCTTATATCAGGCCATGTGTTTGGAATGGTCTGCCTCATTAAGGGACACCAGAAGCAACAGTAGCCATGAAACAGTACTGACACTAAAGTGTCTTCGTGTCATTGCATTAGATAAGAAATATCAAATCAACTAGCATCTGCAAACAAATTATGCTAGAGCTTTTCTCAGAACTAACTTTACTTAACTTATTTTGCAATTATGTCTTACCAACTGCTGCTAAGGTGATTTTAGTGAATGCATGAAGTAATTTTCCCTCAAGTTCACCGAGGTGTCCTAGCAGTAACCATAGGTGTAGATCATTACATTAACTGAACATGTTCCGCTCTAGTGTTCATTTTGTCAGCCATTTTTTATTTAGTCTTAGTTTTACTCTTAATCTTTTAAATTAGTATTAGTCTTAGTCCTGGTGTCAAATGTACTTTTTAGTTATCATATTTAGTCAACCTTGTTCTGTTTTTGTTTTAGTCGACTAAATGTCTGAGCATTTTAGTCTAGTTTTATTCAATGAAAACTTTTCGTCACATTTTCATCATGCTGTATAATAGTTAAACTGATTAAAAAAAAAAAGAATATATATATATCAGAGTCACTGATTTGCGGATTTGAACTCTTGATATCTGGCAACCGCACACATGAAAGCTTATACTAGAGCAGGGGTGGCGAACGTCAGTCCTGGAGAGCCGCAGCCCTGCAGAGTTTTGCTTCAACCCTAATCAAACACACCTGAACATGCTAATCAAGGTCTGAAGGGTTACTAGGAAGCTACAGGCAGGTGAGTTTTAATTAGGGTTGGAGCTGAACTCCGCAGGGCTGAGGCTCTCCAGGACTGGAGTTCGCCACCCCTGTACTAGAGGCATGTACAGCAGTCTGCAATAACGTTTTGTCTCCTTTTTTTTCAACAAAAATAAAAAGAAATTTTGGTATAGTTTTTTAAAAAAAAATACATTTTAGTCTCGTCTTTTATCGTCAACGATATTGCATGTTGATATAGTCACAGTTATCGTTTATTGACCTTATCGTCGGCTCGTCATCATCTTGTCTTATGGAAAAATATCTCGTCAAAGAACATTTTTCGTCATACTTTTTGTTAACGAAATTAACACTATTCTACTCATTACCTCTGTTCAGCAAATGTTTGCGGACGAAATCCAATAATTTCAACAGGAATCCATGCAATCTGGAGTCTTATGTGAGGATGAAATATTTCCCATACAGATTTTACATTGAGTTTAATTTGGCATGTTCACTAACGGAAAGCCGTTTGAAAGTGACTTTGCGAGCTGTGCTTACATTGCTACACTTTTGACAATAAACAACTGATCTTTTTGCCCACAAAATTGCTCTAATGTCATAACACCTTAAAACAACTTTAGTCAAACAGAAAATGTCCTAATACTTATGAATGTGAACAAGCTGTTTTGGAAAATTACTGGATAAACAAGCACCATTTTGTATAAAGTTAAAATAAGGGGTTAATATTGAATAACTTACTGCCAGTTTCTTTATGTTTTTACTCCACCAATGAAAAGGGTTTCAAAGAAAGCCCAGCAAACTGTTGCACATCATCTAGTAACACAGTAGCAGTGTTTTGTTCCTGAATCAATATTTGTGAACGATTCAGTTGAGTGAATGATTCAAAGACTCATAAAGACAGCCACTTGTTTCTTTCCTGAATTATTCCAACGATTCAATCATAAAGACCATCACTTGTCACCTAATACTGGTTTATTGATGTAACCTGCAGAAAGTTTCACAAAAAAAATCCCAAGACTGACAAGAACATGCAAACGGCAGAGTACTACAAACCATGAAACATCCCAGTGCTGTTGGACAATTATATCAGCATTTTATAGGTGACATTTCTGCAAATGTTAGCAATGTTAAGATGCTTAATTATCTGAATTAAATGAAAACATGTTGTTTGCATTGGCTGCTGACTAGATATTTTGCTTTTCTGCTTTAAGCATAATCTTATTCTAATTGGATGCATATTCGCGGTACTATGCATATTTATAGATGAGTCAAGAAATCAAGGAATGAAAAATACACATAGGGATCTGGTTCATTCTATGTCGATACTATGTGTGGAGACTGAAGGTAGAATGGCCATGTGCGGCCAGACAATCTGGGCAGGGTGTCAAACTCACACTTGAGTTTCAAACATCAACAGTATAATGAAAAAGATTTATTTTGTCTAATAACCATAAGGAGATATATGACTGATTCTCTGCTGGATGGGAGGGACTAAAGAAGTAAATCATTAATCTGAGTTTCACAAGAAAAAATATTGAGGCCACCAGGGTGTCATTTTAACCAAAGTGGTGATTTAAAGAGCTTCTCTTCAGAGTAAAATTTTAATTTAATTTAGTTAGCTTATGAAATGCATTAAACTCACCACATTACTCAAGAGAGAATACTGCATTCAGGCTAAGATTAATTTTTTAGTACATCTCTGTGAATCGGTTTCGCTCTGTTCTGCTCTTTTTCTTTCTCTTTGTCTCTTCCTGTCTGCGTTGCTCTAGCTTGCTCTTTCTGTACATGTCTTTCAGCAATTACAAATCAAATGGTGCAACATTGATGATACTCTCTTTGCAGTGTGTGAAAATAAAAGAGGGAAAGATGGTGCTGCACTGATGTCACTCAGCAAGAGAAATCAGCAGTACTGCTGTGATGTCACAGTATTAAAATGTAGCTTTCAGCCAATCACGACAAATCATAGTGGCTGGCAGAGTGCTTTCAGTACCCTGGACAAGGACACCACCACTGCAACCAAACTAGCACCACCTCCTATTCTTATATTCTGCCATTTCCCATTTTTCCAGCACCCTTCCCCCCACACTGCTGACTTAGAGGTCATTGCGTCCTTGGAGCCTTATTCATTGTGCATTAGTCATTGTGCATGCTAATTTAAAACTCCAAAATGAGTCATTTATGATTTCATTATAAGCACGTGCACATAGTTGCACTTGAATGTAGAGAGAGAGATGTTCTTCTGTCCATTCATTGCACAGATGTTTGTAGCGCTGCTTGCTTAGTGGTGAAAGTGCTAAATTTGTCGCCCGGGTTAATCAGGCTACAATCACACTGGTAGTCGTGTACATGACATCAATGGGTGCTGTTAGTACACCGCTGTGCCATGAATAATGCAAGACGAGATGTGTTTCCTGTGTAATCTGACTGCCAGGCCCCCAGAAGCCTTTAAGAGCAGGGTGCGAGGATCTTGACCGGGTCTGCCA